TATAGCTTCTCTTGGTCTCCAAATGAACTCAGGTAGCACTTACTTTCAAAGGACTTTATTTAAGCACTTACTTATAGTTCTTTATGGAATGATTAAACTATTCCACCACATTTTTTCTGTAAATAAGCAAACTATTTACACAGGGTTTCTGTTTGCATAGAGTTTACTGTCTAATCTAGTATATTAACATCTAGATGTTTTTCCAGTACCTGATAGAACAGAGTGTTTTAAGGAGTGACTAATCAATCATGTCAGCTCCATAGACAAAAGGACTGTGCCTCTTTCTCCTTTTTCTGCTTTTCTTCCTCTTTTTCCTCCTCTTCCTCCACCGTCCTATCCTCTTTCTCCATCTCTTCCTTCTTCTTACTATTACTATCGTTTTAACTTTAGTTTCTCCTATAGTTATATAGGTGGTACTTACCAAATGCTCAGTAAGTGAATCAGTAAGAGATGAATTACCTCTCTTCCCTTCACATACTCTCCATTATATTTATTAGTGCTATGCTTACAACTGCTTTTGAATGGAGTTATTTTCAGTAGGCATATTTTTCAATATATAGAATTATTCGGTGGGACTTAAAAATTTGTAGAACATGGGGCCGGCCCGGTGGCACACTGCTATAGTGCGCCACACGGCACTGAGGGTTGCGATCCGTTGCCGGTCACGAAAAAAGACAAAAAAGAAAAAATTTGTAGAACAAAGAAATTATTGAATAAATAAATGAAAAACTCATTCATGTATTTTTCTCAGCCAAACTCATGATATCATGACATGCATAAAAACTTTTAAAAATATCATAAAAAAAGTTTGGCCTTTAACCAGTTGGAATGCAAATGATAATGCCAGATACCTGGCATGTAGTAAGCATTCAATAAATGGCAGCTGTTATCAAAGTCCCAAACAATGTCACCCTACAAGTGAGGCTCATAGTATTTCCAGAAGCTAAAATACAATCACAGAAGGGGCATGCTTGAGGTTCAGCTGTGCCCCCAAATACTTAAAATTTCCCCATTTGTTTTCTTCCCAACACCCCACCACACAAACACCAGAAAGTAACAGGAACTCAGCCTGTTAGTTTTACTACTGAATCCTCAGGGCCCAGCACATAGTAGTTCCTCAATAAATATTTTTTCTACAACTCCCTGACTCAATAAAAGCAAGCAGAAAAACCAAGAGCCCCTTCTCTGATCTTTATTTGTCTAGTACCCACAATGGTTTTGTAAACACTTAAATTTTTATATTAAATTCTTTCCTGTCTGAATGCCTAGAAGAGTTTCTATTTTTCTCATCAAATCTTAATTAAGACAACCACCCAGTCATCCACTCCTGTCCCCAAGCTGACATCCTATCCTGTATATCTCTCTCTATAAAAACTCCCATATTTACAAATATTTCTTTCTTTGTCAACTTCCCCTTTAGAAGCAAAATCATTTTCAGGGCAGGCATAATATAATCTTTGTTATCACTATTCTTGGAACATAGTAGATGCTTAATAAGTAGAAATTGACCGAATGGACTAAGTTCATGCCACTTCCTATATGTCTTTTCTTAAACATCTTAAACATCATTTACCTACTACCAGCATTGGTTCCATTCAAGAAATGCAGACTCACAATGGATCACCGGGATCAAAAGGTTTTGAAGCATTGAAATGCTAATGTATTAGGAAGCTGAAGGGCAGGTTGTGGGATTTATGCAGAGTTAAGGAAAGCTTTCCCTTGTCTGAAAACTACTGGAATATCCAGGGATACAGCATTCCTAGGTCAAGGGAGCAGCTTCTGTTGCCAGCCCTTAAAAGTTAGCTTTGAGGAGACTAACTAGGGATCCTGAGAATTTCATTGAATGTCTTCTTTTATATTTATACCTTGACTTTGATTCTACATCTGTTTCCTTTCTCTCCTAACTGTGCTTATTTTCACAGACCTTTCATTATTCTTTCTGATCCACACCAAAGTTGAATGGTTTATGTTCTTGTGGAAGGATGATAATCAGACATATCCACTTACATTTTTTTATGTATTTTATCTAACAAGTATATATTTTTAAAATTTTCCTTCACCTTCTGCCACACCCTGCAGCAAATATATAGATGATTCCATGTTCATATCCTAAAAAGAGAAATGTAACAGGCAGACAGTCTCTGATCATCATGGATATTGTTTCAAAAAGGTCAGATGGGTGAAAGCTGTTGGTAGCAGAGTGGTTCATCACTTCCTAGGCAAATAAATAATTGCTGTGTGAACAAACAAACAATTCATTATTTTCTTGGCAATTAAGTAATCTAGACAGGAGGGACCACACTGACAGCCTTGCTAAGTTTCTGTATCCTAAGCATGGCACAGAAAAAGCTGACAGCCAGGAGCCTAAAGGGCCATGCTAACCAGGTGCTGACCATCTCATGAATGCCTGTGTGGATAAATAACTTGTTGACCAGAGGAAGTCTTCCACCAAAAGCTGAATGGATAATGTGTTCGAGTACAGAAACTTAGCACACCCTGAAACAAAATTAGATTGTATTTCCCTCCAGCCTGATGGAATGGGCTCTCCTGAAACAGAAATAAAATCAATTTACAGCAATAAAAAATACATTTCATACATCCAGAATATGTGTATTTTCCAGCCTGATGGAATGGGCTCTCCTGAAACAGAAATAAAATCAATTTACAGCAATAAAAAAATACATTTCATACATCCAGAATATGTGGATTTTGATTTACACTTGCTGTAAAATCAAAAACACAGGCTGTTACATAGAAAGATGTGTTATGCCCTATTTCTGAGTCTAAAGCCACCTGATTATGAGCTTTCCAATGATTCCCCTCAGTTGGAAGCAAAGAATGAATTAATTCTTGGCTGGCTGGGTGTAGCAACAGAATGCCTCTTGGTTCAAGTGGAATGAATATCAACACAAGTCAAAATCCATTATAGATGAAAAAGAACCAAGCCAAACTTTAGCAATTAGCCAATCAACTGCCACATCCAAAATCAGAAGGGTTTATAAGCTATTTCTAAACATGATACCTATCACTCAAACAGTGTTTGTTATATGCCAGGCCCTGTTCTAAATTATTTAACGTATATAATCATTATCACAGACCTATGTAGTAGGTTAGATTATTACTCCCATTGTACAGATCAAGATATTGAGGTACATGGGGTTATGTGACCCACCGAAGGTCGAATCAGTCAGTCTAGCTACAGAGTCCAGCTTGACCACCACACAATGCTGCCTGTGCCCAGAAAAAAACAAAAAAGCTTAAATCTTTAAATGCTATAATCCCCCAAAGGAAGATATAATCAGGTCTACTCCTTTTTTTCTAAAGAGGAAGAAACAGCAACAAAGAAGATAAAGAGATTTGCTCAGTGTCACATCACTCAGCACATCACTCATCTCTGTTCTATAACAAACAATACTCATTGTCAATCAAATTAATCATTTTGCTTTTAATGTTTCCCAAAGGGAAACATCAAAAGTTTTAAACCCAGCCTTTAACAACCTTCCAGGAATTTTACCTAAACTTTTCTAAAGCTAACATGGGACCTAAGTGCCAAGATGCCACATGGTCTCAGAAGCCAGGTAAAGCACATTGATGGATAATTTCCCAGATGTCTGGGAAGCAACGCTGTGCCAGGAAGCAACTTAACAGAAGAGCAGACAAGGAGCTTGGGGAAAGAGAACCTAGGGGACTTTAGTATAGTCATTTAAGAAGAAGGAAATTTGATGCTAAGCAAGTTTTTCTCTACTCTTATTGAAACACCTAGGATTAGAAATCTATCTCTTATGAATGCGATCTTTATGCTGCTTTAATTATGCTCTATCAATTTCAAAACAAGTTTCCTATGGAAAATTCCTCTCCCCCCCAAAAAAACACAAAGCAGTCATTTGATTCTCCCTTGCCTTTTAGTGAGGAATGGCACATAACTGTACCATGTCACTGGCATGTCTAAAGCTCCTGTGACAAAGTACTATTAAGGAGAATAAGACCCACTTCTTTCTTCTGAAGGAGAATGACTTAATGTAGTAGAATTTTTTTTTAAAAGAAAACCATCATGGGGGCAAGATTTTGCAACAAGAAAGCTGTATTATTTAGATCACTGGGCATTCAGAGACCTCTCATCTTAATCCTCTTTGCTTTCCTGGTGTTGACATGCCCTGTCATTGATAAGCTCAGATCTCCACTATAACTGCTGAAAGCAGAATCAAATGATATTCAGAAAAAATGTCACTTATTTATTTGTAACCATTTCAACCCTTATTGCAATTTCCATCCTAAGAATACACTCATTGCTTGCACACAAAAAAAGATGACGAAGAATATGATGAGACTGCCAATTCATAAAGACATCTTAAAAGTGAAAATAGAGACATAAAAGTAATTGAACCTGTGCTGAGAAGTATGTTGACAAATCCCAAATAAACAAACTAATTTAAGAAAGACTTCATTCGAGCAACTATGTCTGGTAAGGAAGAAAAAAACTACTAAACCTCTTGCTGCAAGAGTCCTACATTGTTTTAAGTTAAGGAGGAAAAAAGGGCTGTATCCATGAGACATATCACCATTGTCACTATCAGAGTCTTCTTTATTAAATTAGAAAAGAAGTAACAGATTTGAAAATTTAAGTATAGGGCCCAGATAGAAGAAACACACTTTTAACTTTTTTACAAATCTGCTTGAATTCTGATGTTCTAACAAATACATTCAATTTCAATTTAGATGTATTCCAGCAAAATAACAGAATTACTGGTGTTATCCAGAAAACATTGGAGGAGAGACATCAACTCATGATCTGATCAAATCTCTTTTCATTTTCCCTCAAAGGATCCTAGCTCTGGGGACTTTACATCGGCAGATAGACAACTAACTTTATTGTGGCTTTCAGACAAGCCATGGGAAAACCAGTACAGCAAAATGGAGGCAGTGACCCAAGCACCCCTGGTGTTTAAGGTTTTTCCAATAACTACCACTCTGGAAGACACAAATTTGGCTGTGGCACTTACCGCATTAAAATTGGGGAAAAGGTTGACTGCAGCCGCAGTGTCCAGAGGAAAGGGAAGAAATGGTTTAATATCCAGCGGTGGTTGCAAAGGAGGGGCTGGTGGCCGGACCAGGGCTGGGAGAGCAGGACTCTGGCACGTACCACCTGCAGAGACAAGAGCAAAGGAAGCAATCAGGGATACCATGCATGGAAATAACAGCAAGTTCTCTTTTGAGACAAAAAGGGGCCGGACCAGGGCTGGGAGAGCAGGACTCTGGCACGTACCACCTGCAGAGACAAGAGCAAAAGAAGCAATCAGGGATACCATGCATGGAAAAAACAGCAAGTTCTCTTTTGAGACAAAAAGGCCAGCTTTGTGGATCACTGGAAAAAACAAGACATGGAGTCTACTGACCTCAACTGGGAACTGGCCAATGAGAAGATATGCCATTAAGCAGAGACAGGTAGTTGAGCATCCCCTTATCCTTGGATTATAACTATCTGGTTATGTAATAGTTAACCTTTCACACCTCCCAACCGGTCTTTCTTTTCCTGCCTGGAGCTCTACTGGGTCAGCAACCAATCTGTAACCAAGAGTTCCGGATTCAAAAGGAAAACCTCATCACTGCTTGCCTATCCCTCGCTGAAAATTAACCTGCTCGGAATATGCATCAAGTCTGAGTGATTCTTCTACAGAACTGCTCTTTTCCACCACATTCAAAACTCTGGCAACAAGATGACACAAACCTGGCATAGAAAAGAAACTTAACTGCAAACGCAGGCAGCCGTACCTTACTGCCCTGGCAACTGGAGGATTAAGAACCAGCAAATCCAGTGCTACAATCCCTGAACTGTTCAGCTCCCCTGGAGCTGTGAGTATTCAACAACTACCTGACTCTTTCCAGTCATGAGTATGTGGAATTTAGACACCACCGATGAGCAGGTTGTGGGAACAGTATGCCAACAAAGACACCCCCTTTGCCAGCAGTTTGCAAAGGAGCACACACTTTCACCCCTGTCACAGGACTCCACTCCGCTCAGAAGCTGAAAGGATGGAAGCCCATCCTCAGAGTTCAGTCTCCCATATTTTGATCATATCCCAAAGCATCAATTTGCTGTTAATTAAAGGCTATTTGAATCCTAGGAAACTGTTAAAATATGCCAGCATTCTTCTAATCTGAGAGGCAAGCAACAGACTGTAAAAACCTGCTGGTGAGAATCCAAGAAGCATTAGGAAAACAAAATGCAGCAGGATTTCTCCTTTCTCACAGAAAAGAATTCTAGGAGACGGAAGGAAGGAGAGGTTCATGTCTATTCCACTTACGTGCCCGCCATCTTGTTTTTAAAACAAAGCAGAGTGGCAACATATGAATTACATTACAAATTTCACAACCAACTATCTGGCCAGCATCACACAGACCTTCATCCTGCCTCAATCAGTTACCTGAGCACAAATTAAACATTCTGCAAATGACTCCCCAATGATAAATCCAATCCTTTTGGGCCAGAGGATCTAACAAGGTAGATGACTTAATACCTGCAACAGAAACCATTAGCACAGGATTTAATTAACCATACACAAGAATCATCAGCTCTCCTGTTTCCAGGTATAAAATCAGCTGGAGCCAAATTAACAAAAATAGTACTTTTCCCACTGTTTTAACTTCCTTCTTGAAAAAGGCCAAGTGAAGTTTGAATCAGCAAACCTATTAAAAAAAACAGTACAAGGCAGAAACTAGAGGGCAGATGTTTAAACTAATAGAGATAAAAGCAAAATATAACAAGTCTATGTTCACCAGAGCACACCATAAACTTATTTTATTGTCCAGCTGGTAGTGTGTTGAGTATGGGTGTGTAACCATTTCTCAAAAGGACATCCATAAAACTTTGGTGATAAACCTGTCATGAATTTAGGACTGTTAAAAGTTTCTCTTTTAATAAAAAGTTAAAGAACTAAAATAAATTT